GTTGCTCTTTGCGAGCTTGCGGGCACACAGGGAGCGGGAGAGGCTGCTGCGCTGATCTGCTCTCCGAGGGAGAAAAGAAGCGAAAGCAACAAGAGATCTGCGAAATGTTTGGGAGACAACGGGTAGAGAAAGGAAGGGAGAGGCAGGCTTCTGGTTACACTTTAGCTTCGCTTCTACCGTGGCGAACACAGCAGCAACACGGTCACCCACTGCCTGAAGAACGGTGTTTGTGCCCAAAAGCTTGCAGAGAACTGGCCCCCAGCCGTTTAGTTGATCTCGTACAAGATACTGGATGTACCCAGAGAACCTGAGGCCCCTTCCAACCCTAACATCCATGAACCTTGCCTGCCTATGTCCTTAGAGCAGCAGTTCCCAACCCTGGGTTGCCACCCAAATGAGGGTCACAGGGGCAATGCTGGTGGCACTGCACAGAAAAGACGAGCCGTGGCACGTGCCAGGAGCTCCGCCGCCACTGCAGCGGGGTGCAGGAAAAAAAGGTTGGGAACCACTGCCTTAGACCAACTCGGCTACAACCAAGACCCCTTGGTGACAGACTCCTGCCAGCTCACCCCCCACCCTGGCCTTGCTCCCCTCACCTGAGCACTCCCACACTGGACTGTCTCCTTACCCGTTCTCCAGTCCTCAGCTCCACAATTTCCCCAGCAGCATCTCTTCTGACTAAGGGTTGCTCCCACAACACTGATGATCTTGCAGGTCCCTTCCCGTCCTTCAATTTTATGACTGCACAGCAGAAACTCCTTTGTCAGCACAGTCCCAACCTGCTTCAGACTCAGGCCTCCCCTGGGATCTCAGCCCTATGCTGCTTCCCAAGATTAGGTCCTATCTGCACCATATTCATTTGAAATCCCTGACTCCAGCATTGCAACTCAACTGGAAAATTTCCCTTTGCACAGCCATCCTATGTCTGAGACATAACCTTCCTTGTATAGCTTTCCACACTATTCCCACTACCACACACCCTCCTGCCTGGAAGCCTTTAACCCAAAACTACCACCTCCCTTTTGAGGGTCCTTCTCACCTGAGGCCACTGACCCCAGAGTTACCCACAGGACCATATTACCTTCCACTGCACATTTTCCTGCATGAAAGGACTCCTGACAGTGCTGCTAATCTCAGCCAGGCACAGCACCTTAGGTGACACCTATTTTCCTGTTCTGGCAGATCAGGTGGTTGTGTGCTCAAACTACAACCATTTTCTCTCCTATTTCTTTTTTGGTGTGGTTGAATATATATATATATGCTCAGAAATCTGGGACCAGGAAAGAAAGAATCCTATTTGGGGACTTCGTTTAGTATGATATTTTGTCAAATTGCTCCATTTAGCCAAAAGAGGAAGGTTTTCTTACTTTCTTACTCACTTGCTTTATGCTTAAAAAAACAGCTATTTATTTAGGAAGTTTTAACAGGTTTACAAATCGTTACTATGTAAAGATCAAAAACAAATGATAATCTTTACAACAGCTTTATTCTTTGCTTGTTTACCATAACATCATGCAGTAATATAATCATCAAATCTCAGTTTCACAGGGTGTTAGAGTATTACTGAGTGAGCCTTTTAACACTGTCAAGAATGTGTTGTGTCTGAGAA